GGCGGCGAGCGAGGGGGGGAAGTTCCCCACTCAAGCAGTCCCAGACCTCCTCGGGTTGTGAACAAAATCGCGGCGGGAGGTTTCTCGCTGTTCTCCGCCTCTGGGGGCCCTTCCCGGGCTTCGGGACTGTCAACAATTAATTCAGGATGAAAAGGTGGTCCCCAGGAAGGGGTCCAGACCTCTGGGGGTCGACGTTGTGAGAAAATCTCGACGTCGGGGGTCTTGGGTGGCGAGGCGTCCTGGCATACCTATAGGTCAACCGAAGAATGTTCTAAGAACCTTTTTGTGGTCTGCACGAGCTGGTTTTTCCCTATCTAGGCTCTGCCTAGAAGGGTTCTTACTCTGTTGGCTTAAAGGGGCCGGGCAGTGGAAACCGCCCCGGGCGGTTCCCCCAGTCCCCTGGGAGCCAAGCAAAAGCAACAGCAAAGGTAAAAGCAAACGCGCGGTTCCCCCAGTTGCGCTCCCTGGGTGCCAAGCAAAAGCAAAAGCAAAGGCAAAAGTGAAGGCAACAGCGAAGGCAAAGCAAAAGCATAGCATAGCATAGCATAGCATAGCCTAGCCCAGCATAGCATAGCGCAGTATAGTATTATAACATAGCCTAGCCTAGCCTAGCCTAGCCCAGCTTAGCATTGCGCAGCATAGCATAGTATTCCCCAGCATTGTGCTACAACTACGACGATGAGGAGAAGTTGGAGGACGGCGTTTACCGCTCCTACTAATGTTGCTTTCCTAGAGGCTCCAACTCCTAGGTAGGTTCGCACTGGGATAATTCCCTTCCGAGGCTCTGCCTAGAAGGATTCTTACTCTGTTGGCTTACAGGGGCCGGGCAGTGGAAACCGCCCTGGGCGGTTCCCCCAGTCCCCTGGGAGCCAAGCAAAAGCAACAGCAAAGGTAAAAGCAAACGCGCGGTTCCCCCAGTTGCGCTCCCTGGGTACCAAGCAAAAGCAAACGCAAAGGCAAAAGTGAAGGCAAACGCGAAGGCAAAGCAAACACATAGCATATCATAGCATAGCATAGCATAGCCTAGCCTAGCCCAGCATAGCATAGCGCAGCATAGCATAGCGCAGCATAGCATAGCCTAGCCTAGCCTAGCCTAGCCTAGCCTAGCCTAGCCTAGCCTAGCCTAGCCCAGCATAGCATTGCGCAGCATAGCATAGCATTGCCCAGCATTGTGCTACAACTACGACGATGAGGAGAAGGACGAGGAGGAGGACGGCGTTTACCGCTCCTATTAATGTTGCTTTCCTAGAGGCTCCAGCTCCTAGGTAGGGTCGCACTGGGATAATTATGAGCCTTCCTGGCTGCGGTGTCTTGTTTTAACGCAGTGGCTTTATGTTCTAAGAACATTTTTGTTGTTATTGGAATATATTTGGGTTCTAAGAAAATCTCGTGGTAGGCCTATAGGAATGCTGGGACGGTCGGTCCCTGCTCAACCCAAGGGCTTCACGGCCTCTCGCCACTCGCTCTGTGGGGATCGAGCCAGGTGCGTGAAGGGAAGTGCCGACAAATCGAGGCAGACCCATGCAAGTCCGGAGAAGTCCAGAGGACCCCCCCGGGGAAACTCTGGAGCGACCCGTGGCCGCTCCAGCGCGCGAGCCGACGGGCGGCAGAAGGCCCGAGGACTCCCGTAGCCTCCCGAGAGGGCCCGCCCCCCCTCCGACGGCGCGCAGGAGGGGCCCTCCGCCGGAGTGGCCTCTGGTGCGGACCCGGCGGGGTCCCCCTTAGCGCCGGCCGCGATGCGGTAGCAGCGTCTTGCGCGCTCGTGCTTGGGTCCCCCCCCCCTCGCGGCCCCCCGGAAGCCGCGCACCGAAGGCCACTCTGGGCCGGGGTCGCTCCTGCTCGTGACCGACTTCCCACTTCCCCCCCGGGCGCGCCGCCGAAAAGAGGGGCCCTGGACCCTGAGATGCGTTCCCAGGCCCAAGAAGGGGAAAACGAGGCAAGGGTAGAGGTATGGGTGCCTCGTCCTCTTAGATTGACCCACACAAGCTGATTGGCGGAAGGCTCTCAAGCCTCTGGGGAGCTTCCCCCCCAGGCGCGCCGCCGGAACAGAGGGGCCCTGAGCCCTGAGATGCGTTTTCCCTATTTCTGTCTGGCTGGACGCTGTCGCCCGGCTTTGGGCACACCCGGGGGTCTCACGGCGCCAGGGCTCGGGTCGTGGTCTTTTATCGCGATCTCTGCAGTCTTCTCCGCGTCGTCGGAGTCCCTTTCTCCGCGTCTCCGCGATCTTCTCCGCGATCTCTCCGCGATCTTTTCCGCGATTCTCCGCGATCTCTCGTCGTTCTCGTCTCAGTCGCGATCTCCGCGTCTCCGCGATCTTCTCCGCGATTCTCTTTCGGGGACGGCGGAGTCCCGGACTTCCAGGCTCCCCTGGGCCCCCAAGACAGCTCAAAAGCGCTTCCAGATGATCGCCGCGAGGGCCCCAAGAGGCCAACATCATCCGACTCCTCGGGATAAACAGGGTTATCCTGGCGAAGGACCCAACCATACATATGAAGTTGTGGGTGCCGCAATTGTGAATATCTTCTTCGGTGAAGCTCCCTATGGGGCCACGAAGCGCTGCGCTGGGCGGGGGGGGAAGGCATGCGGGCGGTAGCGCTGGGGCCGTCGGTGAAGCTCCCTGTGAGGCTACGAAACGCTGCACTGGGTGGGTGAAAATACCAAATTAGGCATGTGGGACGCATGCGGGCGGTCCCATTGGGGGCTTCGGTGGAGCTCCCCATGGGGCCGCGAAGCGTTGTAAAGGGTGGGTGAGAATGCCAAATTTGGTGTGGGGGACGCATGCGGGCGGCCCCACTGGGGGCTTCGGTGGGGCTCCCTATGGGGCCACGAAGCGCTGTACTGGGTCGGTGAACATGCTAAATTTGGTTTGGGGGACGCATGCGGGCGGTCCCACTGGAGGCTTCGGTGGAGATCCCTGTGGGGGACGCATGCGGGCGGTCCCACTGGGGGCTTCGGTGGAGCTCCCTATGGCTATGGTGCCACGAAGCGCTGTACTGGGCGGGTGAACATGCAAAATTGGGCATGGTGGACGCATGCGGGCGGTCCCAGATGGGGCTTCGGTGGAGCTCCTTATGGGGTCACGAAGCGCTGTACTGGGTGGGTGAAAACGCCAAGTTGGGTATGGGGGACGCATGCGGGCGGTCCCACTGGGGGCTTCGGTGGGGCTCCCTATTGGGCCACGGAGCGCTGTACTGGGTGGGTGAAATTGCCAAATTGGATGTGGGTGACGCATGTGGGCGGTACCATTGGGGGCTTCGGTGGAGCTCCCTATGGGGTCACGAAGCGCTGTACTTGGTGGTTGAAACTGCAAATTGGGCGTGGGGGGCGCATGCGGGCGGTCCCACTGGGGGCTTCGGTGGAGCTCCCTATGGGGCCCTGAAGCGCTTTACTGGGTGGGCGAAAATGCTAAAGTGGGTGTGGGGGACGCATGCGGGCGGTCCCACTGGTGGCTTCGGTGGAGCTCCCTATGTGGCCACGAAGCGCTGAGCTGGGTGGGTGGCAATGCCAAGTTGGGTGTGGGGGACGCATGCGGGCGGTCCCACTGGGGGCTTCGGTGGGGCTCCCTATTGGGCCACGAAGCGTTGTACTGGGCGGGTGAAAATGCAAAATTGGGCATGGTGGACGCATGCGGGCGCTACCACTGGGGGCTTCGGTGGAGCTCCCTATGGGGCCACGAAGCGTTGTACTGTGCAGGTGAAAATGCCACATTGGGTGTGGGGGACGCATGCGGGCGGTCCCACTGGGGGCTTCGGTGGGGCTCCCTATTGGTTCCCGAAGCGCTGTACTGGGTGGGTGAAAACGCCATATTGGATGTGGGCGACGCATGTGGGCGGTCCCACAGGGGGCTTCGGTGGAGCTCCCGGTGGAGCTCCCTATGTGGCCACGAAGCGCTGTGCTGGGTGGGTGACAATGCCAAGTTGGGTGTGTGGGACGCATGCGGGCGGTCCCACTGGGGGCTTCGGTGGGGCTCCCTATGGGGCAACGAAGCGTTGTAGTGGGTGGGTGAAAATGACAATTGGGCGTGGGGGACGCATGCGGGCGGTCCCACTGGGGGCTTCGGTGGAGCTCCCTATGGGGTCACGAAGCGCCTTACTGTGTGGGTGAAAATGCCAAATTGTGAAACGCATGGAAGAAGGAGGAGGGAATGGAGAAGGAGGAGGAGGAGGAGGAGGAGGAGGAGGAGGAGGAGGAGGAGGAGGAGGAGGAGGAGGAGGAGGAGAGAAGTGGAGAGGAGGAGAGGAGGAACGCGGGGCGACGTCTCTTCAAAACGAGGACCCAACACCACAGAATGGCTGGGAAAAAACCGTGCGTCTTCAGCACATTCGCATCCTGCGTTTTGACAGCGGACACGACGTCCCGAGTGGCCCCCGTCCCAAGGACGGCCCGTGATGCCTCCTGGGGCCGGGCAGCGCTGCCTCCGCTCCCCGAGGCTTCCTCGTTGCCGGCTTCCAGGGGGGCCCCGGGGCCGGAGGCTCCTCTCCCCAGGGCCCCACAGGCCTGGCCCGTGGTGCAGGTGCGCACGGGAGAGTGTCCTCGGATGGCCCTCTGTGGCGCACCAGGTATTCTGAGCAACTCCAAGCTTGTGCCGACGGGGGCAGGGGGGGAGGCTTCGGTCCATGGAGGCCTCCGGAGGCCTCCAGGCCCAGAGGGGGCCCAAAACGCCCGACCCCCGATCGATCGGATCCTCGAACGATCGATCCTCGAGCCTCGATCGCCGATTGAGAGCCTCGATCCTCGAGGGCCTCGGGCGATTCCCGAGCGCCTCGGCCGATCCTCGATCCTGGAGATCCGACGACGCGACAAGCATGCCTCATCATGGGGAATCGCGATCGGAGCCCTGGACCCTTTCTGCGCCAGTTTGTCGAGCCAGATCGACCTGTGAGGGTCCCAGGGCCCGAAGCAAGGCAACATCGCCCGTTGTGGAAGACCTGCAACGCCTGGATCTCAGGCATCCACGATTGATCGAAAGCCTCGACCGCGAGCGACGCGCCGCCGCCCAGGGGCTCCGCGGGGGAGCAGGGCCGCGGTGACGGACTGCGGGCGCGCAACGAGCAGCTGCGCGAGCGCGCCGGGCTGGCGCCGGCGTCTCCCGCCAAGGACGTGGAGGCCGTCGTAGTCCTCGGCGACGACGGCGGCGGCGACGACGACGGATTCGTCGTCGCCGTCGCCGTCGCCGCCGCTGACGTCGCTGTCGTCCTCCTCGTCTTCCTCCTCCTCGTCCTCGTCCTCCTCGTCCTCCTCGTCCTCGTCCTCCTCCTCCTCGTCCTCCTCGTCCTCCTCGTCCTCGTCCTTCTCCTCGTCCTCCTCCTCCTCCTCCTTCTCCCCTTCCCCCTCCTCCTCCAGCCTCCTCCAGCCTCCTTCTGGAACTTCAGCCTCCAGCCTCCACCTCCTCCTCCTCCTCCTCCTCCTCCTCCTCCTCCTCCTCCTCCTCCTCCTCCCTCTCCTCCCCCTTGCCCCCCTTCCTTGGTGTGGGGGCCCTGTCGTGGCAGGGCGGTGGATGGCGCCACCACCGCCCGTGCCGAAAATCATCCGATGGGCCCCTCTACCAGCCTCGCGTCCAGGTGGAGAAACGCTGCCTCAGTGCCGACGCAGAGCAGCTTCTCCCCTGCCCCTTGCGGCCGCTGCCGCCCCCCCCTTCACGGCCGCTGCCCCCCCCCCCCCCTGAATGATGATGATGATGATGATGATGATGATGATGATGATGATGATGATGATGATGATGATGATGATGATGATGATGATGATGATGATGATGATGATGCTGACTCTGATGCTGATGATGCTGATGATGATGCTGATGATGCTGATGATGATGATTTGATGCTGCTGTTGTTGATGATGATGCTACTCCTGAAGATGATGATGCTGATGATGAGGATGATGATATGGTGCTGCTGCTGATGACGATGATGCTGATGATGCTGATGCTGCTGCTGTTGATGATGATATGATGCTGCTGTTGATGATGATGATGATGATGATGCTCCTGAAGATGATGATGCTGCTGATGATGATGAGGATGATGATCATGATGGCGTGATGGCGATGATGCTGATGATGCTGATGCTGATGCTGCTGCTGATGATGATGATGATGATGCTCCTGTTGATGTTGATGATATGCTGCTGATGATGATGCTGATGATGCTGCTGATGATGCTGATGATAATATGATGCTGCTGTTGATGATGCTGCTGAAGATGGTGATGATGATGACGATTCTGATGCTTATGATGCTGATTATGATGATGATCTGCTGCTGATGACGATGCTGATGATGATGATGATGATGATGATGATGATGATGATGATGATGATGCTGATGCTGCTGCTGATGATGATGGTGATGATGGCGATGATGCGGATGATGCTGATGCTGCTAATGATGATGCTTCTGGTGATGATGATGCTTATGCTGATGATGTTGCTGATGATGCTGATTCTGCTGATGCTGATGTTGATGATGCTGCTGATGATGATGCTGATGCTGATGCTGATGCTGCTAATGATGATGCTGATGCTGCTGGTGATGCTGCTGATGAGCGTATGATGCTGTTGCAGATGATTATGGTGATGCTGATGGTTATGATGCTGCTGATGATGATGATGAGGAAGAAGAAGATGATGATGCTGCTGCTGATGGTGATGCTGCTGATGATGATGCTGCTGATGATGCTGATGATGATGCTGATGCTGATGCTGCTGCTGATGTTGATGATGAGGATGATGATGCTGATGATGATGATGATGATGATGATGATGATGATGATGATGATGGTGGTGATGGCGGTGATGGTGGTGGTGATGGAGGAGGAGGAGGGAAGAGGAGGAGTAGGAAGAGGAGGGAGGAGGAGGAGGAGGCGGCAAGAAGAGGAGGGTGAGGAGGAGGAGGAGGAGGAGGAGGGAGGAGGGAGGAGGAGGGAGGAGGCGGAGGAGGAGGAGGAGGAGGAGGAGGAGGAGGAGGCGGAGGGCAGAGGAGGATGAGGAGGGGCGAGGAGAAGAGGGAAGGGAAGAGGAGATGATGATGATGATGATGATGATGATGATGATGATGATGATGATGATGATGATGAGGAGAGGAGGAAGGAGGAGGAGGAGGAGGAGGAGGAGGAGGAGGAGGAGGAGGCGGAGGGCAGAGGAGGAGGAGGGACGAGGAGGAAGAGGGAAGAGGAGGAGGAGGAGGAGGAGGAGGAGGAGGAGGCGGAGGAGGAGGAGGAGGAGGAGGAGGAGGAGGAGGCGGCATGCAGGAGGGTGGGGCCGGCCTCCAGAGAGGCTGGTGCCGGCGTCGCGCCGAGCTCTCCGCCGACCCGTGCCGAGGGGGCGGCTGCTGCGCCGCGCCGCCCCGCCGTCGAGGCGCCCGCCGTCCTCGCCGCCCCTCTGCCGCGAGCCGGGCGGCCGCGGCCGCCGCCGCAGCGGGGGGCACGCGCGCAAGGGGGCAGGGGGAGGGGGGGAGGCTTCTAAGCAGGTGGCTGCTGCTCAGAAGGCGCGGGCCCTGTCTACAGAGGTACAGTTCGCCACCCACCAAACCACCCCAACCCAACCCGAAGGCCCAAATTTATCCTCGATTTCCAGTGGGGGGGGGTCGGGGAACATTGAAAAAACACATGGAACCCGTACCCCCCCCAACCCGAAATTCGGGTCAAATTCGGGTCTTCGGGTTGGGTTGGGGTGGTCTGGTAGGTAGTCAACAGTGCACCCGCACGCGAAGGGTGGGCAGCCTTCCCAAGGGTACCCCGACGTCCTTGCCCCTTTGGTCCATCCTTGGCCACCTTCGCTGGCCAACTTCTTTCGGAGAAACGTTCACAGGGGCCTCGAAGGCCCTTGCTTGCATCCTTACAGCGCTTCCTGATGATACGGGTTGACTGTAGGGCCGCGCCTCCTAAGAAGCCCCCTCCTTGTAAGAAGCCTTCCCCACTCTCCCTCCCCCCCCCTGGTGCGCGCCGCCGAACAGGGGGGCGGGGGGCTATGAGACCTCTTAGTTGGTGTGATTACGGTCGGGAACATGTGGATAGCATGTCGCTCCGCCGGGTCTTGTCCACCGCGCCTCGGCGCGACACGCTATCCACTTCCCGGCTCCCCAGAGTCACCGTACCGAGTTTTCCCGAGGCTCCCGCCCCGCGGAGCGGAGCGACACGCTATCCACTCGCAAAAGATAGCTTGTCGCCGGGGGCGCCGCGGCGATACGCTAAGATAAAGTCCCCGACAGTAGTTGGTGTGATTAGGCCTGCGGGCTTTCTGGATAATGCAGCCAGGCTGTCGCAAAGTGAAGCATGATAGCCTACACGCTCTGCATTCCACTTCGACCTGATCACATGACAACGCGATACAACGGCTACTGCTTTTTTGTAGTCTGCACTTGACAGCAGTCCAAGCGCGATGCTTGCATTCAATAAGAAACATGCTCTACTCCAAGCTGCACTGCGTGACATTGCGTGATATGGACTGGAAGCTATGCTACTTCTGGTCCTACGGGGCGCCCCCTGACCGTCGACGGCGACCTCTACGCCGTCGCCGCCGTCGCCGTCGCCCACGCCGCCGCCGTCGTCTCCGTCGCGGTCGGCGGAGGCGGATGCAGCGGGGGCGGCGGCGTTGTCGAAGGTGCCGAGGCGGCGGGTTGCAGCGGCGGCCCTCCTGCGGGAGAGTTTTGTATTTTCTTTGGGCTTGTTCCCCACATGCTTAGTGTGGTTATGGTTTTCTTCCTTGCCGCGTCGCACCCGCGTTCCTTCTTCTTCTTCTTCTCCTCCTCCTCCTCCTCCTCCTCCTCCTCTTCCCTCTTCGCAGCCGCACACGCAACATACACATGACGCGCATACCACACAACACATGTGGGCAAGATCTGCAAGGCGCTCAGGGAGTAGTCCCTCAGCGCGCTCTCTATCCGTCACGGCCGTCCAGGGCGTAGCAGGCGTGGCATACTCTCGACACCACAGGGGGTGCGCAGGGGTTGGTCCCTCAGCGCGGCCGCTATCCGGCACGGTCGTCCAGGGAAAAGCAGGCGTGGCATACTCTCGACACCATCGGGGGTGCGCAGGGGATGGTCCCTCAGCGCAGCCGCTATCCGTCACTGTCGTCCAGGGCGTAGCAGACGTGGCATATTCTCGACACCACAGGGGGGGCGCAGGGGGTGGTCTCCCAGCGCGGCCGCAATCTGTCACGGTCGTCCAGGGAATAGCAGGCGTGGCATATCCTCGACACTATACGGGGTGCGCAGGGGGTGGTCCCCAGCGCAGCCGCTATCCGTCACGGCCGTCCAGGGCGTAGCAGGCGTGGCGTATTCTCGACACCATACGGGGTGCGCAGGGGGTGGTCCCTCAGCGCGGCCGCTATCCGTCACGGTCGTCCAGGGCGTAGCAGGCGGGGCATATGTTTGGCACAACAAGGGGGTGCGCAGGGGTTGGTCCCTCAGCGCGGCCGCTATCCGGCACGGTCGTCCAGGGAAAAGCAGGCGTGGCATACTCTCGACACCATCGGGGGTGCGCAGGGGGTGGTCCCTCAGCGCGGCCGCTATCCGTCACGGTCGTCCAGAGCGCAGCAAGCGTGGCATATCCTCGTCACTATTTGGGGGTGCGCAGAGAGTGGTCCTTCAGCGCGGCCGCTATCCGTCACGGTCGTCCAGGGCGTAGCAGGCGTGGCATATCCTCGACAATTCTCGACACCATAAGGGGGTGCGCAGGGAGTGGTCCCTCAGCGCGGCCGCTATCCGTCACGGTCGTCCAGGGCGTAGCAAGCGTGGCATATTCTCGACGCCATCGGGGGTGCGCAGGGGGTGGTCCCTCAGCGCGGCCGCTATTCGTCACGGTCGTCCAGGGCATAGCTTGCGTGGCATATTCTCGACGCCATCGGGGGTGCGCAGGCGGTGGTCCCTCAGTGCGGCCGCTATCCGTCACGGTCGTCCAGGGAAAAGCAGGCGTGGCATACTCTCGACACCGTAGGGGGTGCGCAGCTCTGCGCGGCTGCTATCTATCCGTCATGGTTGCCAAGAGCATCGCACGCGTAGCATTTCCACGGCACTGCGTCGGCGGAGCAACGGCCGCGAGCAACGGGCTCGCAAGTTCCACGTCAGCTAGCACCACGCAAGACACATGATAATTATTTGGGGTTCCTCGGTCGCGTAAATAGGTTGTTGTATTTTTCTTGCGGAGGTCGGCCCCATTGCGAGAGCATGGTTAGTCGGTGGTGGAATCCGCGGGACTCTGCTGCCCGTCTCATATTCCGCTCCTCTCTTTTCTCTCTTGCCTCTTCGCTGTTTCCGCCTCCTTCCTTCTCCACCTCTTCCCTTTTCCTCCTGTTCCCTCCCTCTCCTCCTGCTTTTCCCACCTCTTCTTTACTCCTCGTCCTCCTCCTCCTCCTCCTTGCTCCTTCTTCTTCTCCATCATCCCTGCCTTCTCCCTGCACTCTTCTTTCTTTTCACCTCCCCCACTCTTCCCTCCTCCCTGCTTCGTCCATCCTTCATCCTCCCGAGCGAAGTGACGCCAAGGTACGAAGTTGCCCAAGGACTCACCATGGGGATCAATAGGAAGTGACGAAGGTTGTTCGTTTAGCAGCACAGGGTGGTGGAAGGCGAGGGTAATCGCTTGGACCTCACAATTATCCTGGCGAAACCCCCAACCATATGCAGTTGTGGGTACCGTAATTGTGATTATCTGCTTCGGTGAAGCTCCCTATGGGGCCACGAAGCGCTGCACTGGGCGGGGGGGAACGCTGTATTGTGTGGATGGTGTGCCGAATTGGGTTTCCGGGACGAATGCGGACGGTCCCACAGGGCTTCGGTGGAGCTCCCTATGGGGCCACGAAGCGCTCTACTGAGTGAGTGAAAATGCCAAATTAGGTTACTGGGACGCATGCGGACGGTCCCACTGGGGGCTTCGGTGGAGCCCCCTATGGAGCCACGAAACGCTGCACTGCGCGCGTGAACATGCCAAATTACATTTCCTGGACGCATACGGACGGTGGCACTGGGGCCTTGGGTGGAGCCCCCTATGGGGCCACGAAGCGCTGCACTGGGTGGGTGAAAATGCCAAATTGGGCTTCCGGGACGCATGCGGACGGGGGCACTGGGGCCTTCGGTGGAGCTCCCTATGGAGCCACGAAAACGCTGTACTGGGTGGGTGAAACGCAGGGAGGAGGGGGAGGAGGGCCACGAAACGCTGTACTGGGTTTGCGGGACGCATGCGGACGGTAGCGCTGGGACCTTCGGTGGGGCTCCCTATGGGGCCACGAAGCGCTGTACTGGGTGTGCGGGACGCATGCGGACGGTAGCGCTGGGACCTTCGATGGGGCTTCCCATGGGGCCACGAAACGCTGTCATGGGTGGGTGAAATGCAGGGAGGAGGGGGAGGAGGGCCACGAAACGCTGTACTGGGTTTGCGGGACGCATGCGGACGGTAGCACTGGGACCTTCGGTGGAGCTCTCTATGGGGCCACGAACCGCTGTACTGGGTGTGCGGGACGCATGTGGACGGTAGCACTGGAACCTTCGGTGGGTCTTCCTATGGGGCCACGAACCGCTGTACTGGGTGTGCGGGACGCATGCGGACGGAAGCACTGGGATTTTCGGTGGGGCTTCTTATGGGCCACGAACCGCTGTACTGGGTGTGCCTGACGCATGCGGACGGTAGCACTGGGACCTTCGGTGGGGCTCCCTATGGGGCCACGAAACGCTGTACTGGGTGTGCGGGACGCATGCGGACGGTAGGGAGGAGGTGGGGGGCACGAGAGGAGGAGAACGCGGGGACCGTTTCTTCAAAACGAGGACCCAACACCACAGGATGGTTGGGAAAACACTTCCGCTGGACCCCCCCCGCAGGCGCTGGAACGCGTGCACAGTTGTGCGCTTGGCAGCACCAGGGGAGGGGGCAATGTATTCTGACCCAGGAGGCGGGCGAGAGAAATCGTTTGCCTCTGCGTTGGACGCCTCTCCGTTGAACCTCCCAGGGCTGCATGCTGTGTGCTGGGCAACACCCACGGTGGCAAGGAGAAGTTTCCCTCGGTGAATCAGAGTGTGGCGATATCTGCCAGTTTGCTGGCAGGAGCAGGCGATCGCCTGGGAGGCAAGGGACGGAGAACAAATACGATGAGGCAAGGGGCCAGGAGACGGAGCGAAGAGAGGAGGCGAGGAAGGAGGTGCAGCGGCTGCCATATTCAAGCCGGAGACCCAACCACACGGAAGGAATGTTGGTTGCCTTTCGTAGAAGGGCTAGTGCTGGCTGCCTTTCGAAAGAAATTCGTAGCCGAGCATTTCGGCAGTGCGGCTGTCAAGGAGGCCTACCGTTCAGGACAGCCGCATGACGTGCTGCTACTGGGACGTGGGCCTGAAGCTCCTGCGAAGCCCAAGAGGGTTGAAGATTCTGGGC